TCATAAATTGTTCTGCATAATAGATGTTAAGGAGTTAGTAAGTATTATTTTGTGTCTGTTTTTATGTACTTTATTGCAATTGTTGTTGCTATTGTTGTTACTAATCTCATCATCTTTTTAGTAGTTGTATATTTTGTATGCCTTTCTTTTAGCATTGTGGATGAAATAATGAGGATATTAAAGGTTTTTAAAGTGTTTTCTATGTATATTTCTTTTTCAGGTAAATACTTGGGGGCCGCAGAAACTTAGTGCTCTTAAATAGAATTCTATAATTATTCCATAATTTATTTTGCTGCAGTGGTGAGAATAGAAATTAATAATATCATTCTTGTTTGTAGATTTTCTGTAAACCTCAAAGTGAAGGAAACTGGATGAAATAAGGAGGATATTATTTCATCCACAACGGTAAGAAAAGAGTGTAAACCATATACAACTACGAGAACAGACTTTGCGCTCAGTTTCACAGATGAGCATTAGAAACGCCAGGTGTATCGATTTAATGAGTCAAAATTTGTATGATTCTTTCACAAGGGACCTGAAGATTGGGAAAGCAACAAAATTTGAATAGCTAGTTTGTGAGATTTTAAATCGTTTTTATTTCCAAAGAATTAATAGATTTATTTTTAATCCGACATTATTACTCCTTCAAAAGCCGTGTTTGAAATAGATTCGGTATTTTTTTTTTTATTATTTTCAAACTGTGCGTATTACGTTTACCGGTATGCGCATGCGCACTCGAACTTATTAAAGAACATGTTCTCTCCAGCAGGGTTGGAACCTACGTTTCCCTTTGTAGATGTTTGACTTGAGGTGTTTTCGATCGAATCAAGTACCGCTACTCTTTTAGCGGTATAAATACGTTACTAAGGGAATAAGAGATGATCACATTAAAGCAGTATTGACTGAGAGCCTGAAGATCGCTTGAAGCGTGTATCACGCATGGAACATAACTGACTAGTTTCTTGTATATATGCAGAGTTTAAATTCCGGTCGAATCCATTACATTCACTTACGTGCTAATACCTTTGGGAAAGGTATCAATCCTCTTTTTCTCCCCCAGCTATGGGTAAATAGAAGCACAGACCAGTTTCTATAAACTTGGATGGCAACTTGTCTACCGCAGATAGAAATGGCAAGCAATTGCGGGAAATAATCTGCCTCATCAGTCACGCATCGAAAGATACATGATCGCCTAAGCGTCTATCATGCATGTACTGTACTGTACTGTACTGATGCGGCATTCACCCTGGGCGGATTGAGCCGGCTTCTTCCTGTTATGAGAAGAAGATTCTTGGGATAAATTACAGAAGTAGGGTACCCAAGCCTACTCGGATAACGTTCTTGCTTGCCGCGGGGTTCTCACAGACGCAGAGACAGGAACGACTAGAAGCCGCCGGTTACCGATGCAGACGCTCCTTGGATTTTCACCAGAGCCCTTGTTAGCCGGCGTGTGTGTGTCAGACCTGTCCGCCTTGCGGTGGCCCTACCAGGAACGAAGTTCCGGGCGGCATAGCTCTGACACTACCGTTTACACCCCCCACCGACTGTGAGGTAAGGGTTGGACTATCATGCATGGCACATAACTGACTGATTCCTTGTCTATATGCCGAGTTCGAATTTCAGTCGAATCCATTACTTTCATTTACGTGCTAATACCCTTGGGAAAGGTATGAATCCTTATTTTCTCCCCTCTATATATGGGTAAATAGCAGGACAGATCGGGTTCTATAGCCTTTGATGGCAACTGGTTTACCGCAGAAAGAAATGGCAACCTACTGTGGGAAAAAAATCTGCCTCGTCAGTCATGTATCGAAAGATACATGATCGCCTAAGCGTGTATCATGCATGGCTCATAACTGACTGATTCCTAGTGTATATGCTGAGTTCGAATTCCAGTTGAATCCATTACATTCACTTACGTGCTAATACCCTTAGGAAAAGTATTAATCCTCTTCTTCTCCCCCACCCAGCTATGGTTAAATAGCAGGACAGACTGGATTCATAGCCTTGGATGGCAACTGATCTACCGCAGAAAGAAATATCTACCTACTGCCAGAAAAAATCTGCCTCGTCAGTCATGTATCGAATGTATCACGCATGACACATAACTGATTGATGTAATGGCCACAGCAGTAGCGGAGTTATATACTCTTTGAGTGTTCTATAAGCCTATAAGTATTTTCTTAGATTCTAAATTTCGGCTAATACAAAATTTGTGAGCCACTCAAGGTAGACAGTTGTAGCGAAAATGTTAATACCGAATGTGGTGTTTAATATGAATAGATTAGAAGACGGAAGTAGATAAAAATTGTAAGGATAGAAAGGAAAAAAAAAGATCCTTGATTAGAAGCAACGGTACAAAACTAGCAATGTGGAGCATCGAATAAGATGTATTCTGTTATTTTGATATTTACTAGGCTTACCTAAGTAGACTACAAGAATAGGACCCCCCAGTGAGAAGCTAATATCAATATTTACTAAGCCATAGTAAAATTCATAGCTAGAATGTGATGTAATATGTTATATTGATATGTATCTATTTATTTATATAAGCTTAACTAAATAGGTCGCAAAACGGGGTACCTAGTGCGTATCAAAATGACAAATGGTGTTTGAGATGAAATTGGAGTGTGATAGTGTTTGCTAATATCAGTTTGGTATAAGGAAACGATTTTAGAGCATTTTGTGAAAACCGAAGTCACATCACTTCCGATAGAGGTCTACATGTTGCTGACGAATACTTGGGATTATTGATTTTCGAAGTATATGTGTATGTATTTTTTGTTGTCGACGAAGGTCCTGTATATGTTGAAATAACTTTCCATATATATATATATATATATATAATTTTTATTAAAAATGAACGAACATCAACAAAATTAATCAAAGTAAAAGAAAAGTGCTTCAGATTCTAAATCGACGTCATTTCTCTTTTCCAATTTTTTCCCTGCTTGGGCGTTCCCCCCATGCACCCCCTGATCTTAGTTCCGTCTCAATCTATCTCCGACGCAGAAGAACTCTGCGGTGTTCGCGCGAAAAGAGCTGAGAGTTTAATTAATTAATTTCACTGCTTCCGAGTAATTAGCTGCCAAATGTTAATGACTAACAGCGAATGTGTGAGGACGACGCGTATTTATGCGTACGACGTGAAGTGGGAATGGTGCGAGGATATGAATAGATGATGTTGCTTGCATTTGTAAAGTGTTATGCAGGAAAACTTATTTAGTGTGAATGTATGTGCGCGCGTGTGTGTGTGTGAATGTGTGTCTTCGAGTGTGAGAGGGGGAAAAAGCATACATATATGTAACCAATGAATCTATCTCTCTATCTAGTTAGATTGAAGTGAGTTTGTGACCCTGGGTTTCACGCTTTGTGCGATCGTCAGACAAAATGTTAGAATGTTAGCTCTATCACTAATATTGAGCATTTTTCAATAAGTACTGCGCATATATAATATATACATAATATATATAAAAATTGCATATATAT